ACCTCCATATTGTCACCAACACATGTAGTTGACCATGTGTATATTTTCCCGCACTGCAAAGAATTTGCTTATGGATAACATGGTTGTCGTTGTTGTTCAGTAACACATCGTCGTAGTGGTGGAGTGAGGTCTTCGGATGTCTCTCGAGACGGTTCGCCAGCTGTTGGTTTGGCCTGTCGAGGAACGGGAAGGCTCTCGACGCCTGGGAGGACGGAGGTGGGCGCCGGCTGGTGTCGTGGTGGTGAGAGGGACCGCGGGACTGGCTCAGGTGTCGGAAATACCAATTATGAATAATGAAACTCCTACTCTTGATGATGATGCGCCTGAGGTGAGTTCGGACCTGATCTATATCTTACGAGGAGCAACCTTGGATATTTGATCGATTAGGGCCCGCTATCAACATCACCAGTGTCACCAAGTCTTACGCTATCCTCGTTTATGCCTCTACGAAGGAAAGGGTTGAGACACTCCTTGGTGGACGACATTGAGAGCCAGGAAATCCGCGAGTTGCAGTAGAAAGTTCGGCCGCCTTTCCTTCTGGTGGTACGCCTCGTTTCTCTCAGGTCACAGACAGTGTATCAGGAAGCTCTATTGTCACGTACACGTTGTGAGCATATCAAGGCACTGCAGGACCGCATAGAGGAGCTTGAGGACATCAACGTTAGTCTGAGACGGAAGCTGATGACAGCTGAGGAGGAGAAGGAACTGCTGCAGAAGGAAAGAGGGAATGCTTCATCGGTGAGCTCTTGCTGAAGTCCTATCCGGCGATTGTTCTCATTACCTCAGACTGAGCGTACTGGATCGTTGAAGGCGAGTAAGAGGGCCCGGCTAGCACAAGTGACTCGGACGACTGAGTCGGCGGACTACAAACGTGAGGGCTGCCTTAATGTGGTCGGGGATGGAGCTGATGGTTGGTATAGGCTCGCAGCCTATTCGGAAGTGGAGTACTGAGCATGAAAATGAAGGAGATCGGAAGAATGTGGACAGACCGTTCGAGTTCTGTCGGAAAGGTGAGCATTGGCAGGTTGCGATTTGGCAGTGTGATGGTGAGCAGGCTCGACGGCGGACCTACGAGTGGGTGAACGAGAAATCCTTTGGGGAGCTGACGACTCCACTGCACCGTGAGGGAATAATGAAGTCTGTGGGATTCGAACCTGGGTGGTTGGGGATTTCAGATGGTATTGCACTCACCGAGAGCGGGACGCCCACGACTACTTCCTTACTAGCTGCTGCCTCACTGAAGGCCCTAGCCTCCACCTGTGGACGGGAAGCATGGGGAATATTCGTGTCTGGGATCTCGGTGGCCGGCCGACTCAGGCAAGTCACATCATCAGAAAGTCCATCATTCAAGGGCTGTTGCAGATCAAGTCGGTGCCGATACCAGCTGGTGGACAGAACATAATCGTGAAGAGCTTGTGTACAGTCGACTGCAACTTGGTGGCCGCTGCCGTAGCCAACAACGTGAAAATCATCGACAAGAGTCGGTCGGCTTGGAAGGCGCATCTCACTCACGCCTCTCAGGATGCCCTTCCCACAGCTGCTGTGTGGCTACTGTCTTGACTGGCGAGACCAAAGACATCAGCCAGGTTGCCCTTTTGTAGCACTACCACCACCTGGACCTTTGGAAGGGCCCTTGCCCTGTAGGTCCAACGGAGGTATTGGGCATCTTGCTATTGCGGCCTCGGGGATCAAGCTGTATGATC